GAATCATATTCCCCCCTGGAAAGAAGCTATGCCTCGGTCGTTGTAATGGGAGTCCGAGGCATGGCTTCAGCTTTCCGTATTTGTTCTTGCCAGGCGGCTGCTGGTCCGTTACCAGGGGCGTGGTCCGGATTTAGCAAATAAGGGAGGCTGGGCGTGTGGCGGTGGTCTCGGACAGCATGCAGCTTGAGGAGAACGTCTCAGGTGGGCAGGTCGCGCAGAGGAAGTGGTCTCGGGTGACATGCAGTCGAGGAGCACGACTCAGGCGGTCTTGGCCGCGCAGAGGTTGTGGTCTCGGGCGACATGTAGCCAAGGAGCTCGGCGCAAGCGGGCTGGCCGCGCAGGTGTGGTCTCGGGGAGCATGGAGTCGAGGAGCACGACGCAGGCGGGCTGGCCGTGCAGGTGTGGTCTTGGGGAGCATGGAGCCGAGGAGCACGACGCAGGTAGGCTGGTCGCACAGGCGTGGTCTCGGGGAGCATGGTGCCGAGGAGCACGATGCAAGCGGGCTGGCCTTGCACGCGTGGTCTTGGGGAGCATGGAGTCGAGGAGCACGACGCAGGCGGGCTGGCCGCGCAGGTGTAGTCTCGGGGAGCATGGAGCCGAGGAGAATGACGCAGGCGGGCTGGCCGCACAGGTGTGGTCTCGGGCAACATGCAGCCGAGGAGCACGACGCAGGCGGGCAGGCCGCGCAGGTGTGGTCTCGAGCATCATGCGGCCGAGGAGCACGACGCAGGCGGGCAAGCCACGTAGGTGTGGTCTCGAGCATCATGCGGCCGAGGAGTACGACGCAGGTGGGCTGGCCATGCAGAGGCGGTCTCGGGCAGACTGCGGCCAAGGGACACGGCTCAGGCGGGCAAGCCGTGCTGAGGTGGACTCGGGCAGTCTACGGCCGAGCCGTGTAGATACAAAAGGGGGTTAGGCCGGAGCTAACCGTGAGCCGGGAGGCAGTCAGGTAGATACTGAGCTTTCACTCGGAAGAGACTAAGGCAGGGCCTAGATTCCTTTTACGAGGACTACATCGGATAGCCATCACGGGTGCTTGACTTCTTCTATGGAGTCCGCTACCAAAAGTCGCTCCTCCTCCTCACGGCCACCCAAGCCTCCGTCGCGATGTACTGGTTAGCCTGCTGGAGCATATCTGGTACTGTGGTGGGGGGTCGCTCCACGAGGGACCAAAAGAATCTGAAAGGTCGCAGGCCTGTCATAAACGCCTGCATCAATAGAGAAGGAAGAGCGTCCGGTAATCCCCGGATTTGCGTTGCAAAACGATTCACAAAATGGGAGAGGGGCTTTTCCTCCCTCTTGTTGAGTCCGAGGAGAAGCGTCGCGAAAGGCTTCGGCCGTGCATAGGCCACGAAGTGGAGCTCGAAGTCCTTGACGAGCTGGTCGAAGGAGGCAATCGTTCTGACCTTCAAGCCGCCATACCACGCGTGAGCCGGCCCTCTCAGAGTGGTGGGAAACGCTATGCACATCATAGCATCAGAGATTCCGTATAGCGCCATCTGGGCGCGAAAAGCAGCTACATGGTCCGCTGGGTCGGTGGACCCATCGTAAGCATCTAGGGAGGGGAGCCGGAAGTTCGGGGGGACTGTTCGATCCTGTATCTCGGGTGTGAATGGAGATCCCTGTTGTGCGTCCTCCCCGAGCTCTCCCCTCGACCTACGAACCTCCTTCTGCACCTCGTCCAGTCGCTGGCTGATGAAGCGCAACTGGACTCGAAGAGAGTCGGTAGGATCTGAAGATAGTGCATCGGGTTTCGGGTGGCCCCTCGGGTTCGCTGTCACTCGATCCCCGAGTGGGACCAATGGGACCCGAGGTGAAGTGGGAAACTCCCGAGGTGGTGTGCGGGCCTGAACGGGTGGCTCCTGTTGCCGTAGTGGTCGGACGGCCGGCGGATGTAGCGGACGAGCGACAAGTGGAATAATGGACTGCACCATATCGGTCAGAGTTCGAACTTAGTGGGTGAGGTCGTGAAAGACCTCGGATGACACGGGCGACGGGTCGGCGGGGGCGCCGTCGGGCGGTGACAAGCCCGGGTCATTGAATATCCAATAATAGCGCTCTTGTTAGGATCAAGAGTACTACGAGGGGGGGGTGAATTAGTGCAGCGAAAAACTTTCGACGATTAAAACTGCGTTCGTATGATAAGAGCGATTTCGGTAGAAAAGTCGATTCGTAAATCACTTTAACTTGTGATCAAGTAAGATGCAGTTAAAGTGAATCTATAAGGGCAGTTTGCAGTTATGATGGAAATCAGAATGTAAGCGCTAACTGAAATATGATGTTCGTATGATAAAACTGATTTACGTCTAAACACCGATTCGGAAAATACTGAACTTTGAAACACGATCGTAAATTCGCAGAAGGCAGTAAGCTATTGAGGAGGTTTGTAGTAAAGATAATATGCTCAAAGTAAATGCAAACTAGAGAGCACCGCGATTTTAGAGTTGTTCGGTCAATCTTGACCTACATCCACTTCTGGCTTCCTCCACCGACGTCCACTAGAGGCCTTCCTTCAATAGGCAAAGGCCAACCACCCTTTTACAGTATCATTCCTTTTGATGGGATTAGTAGACAACCCTTACAAAATTTTCTCTCCTCTCTTGAAAGATCAGAACTTGGAAGAAAAGAGGGAGAAGAACTTTTAACTCATACAACACTTTTGAGCTCTAAAAATCACAGAGTAAGATCAGGATTTCGGTGGTTTTCGTTGCTCTTTCATTGCCGAAAGAGTGGGGTATTCATAGGCCCCAAACCAGTTTGAATTCCGAGCTCAAAACTGTCAATTCCCGGAATTCCAGGGTCTGGTGGTTGCACCGCCTGACTGGGGCGGTTGCACCGCTTGGCAAAGCTCGGAGACTGAGCCTCTAGGCGGTGCCACCGCTTGTCAGGGGCGGTTGCACCTCCTGCCAGAGCTCAGAGACCGAGCTTAGGCGGTGCCACCGCCTAGCTAGAGCTCGGAGACCGAGCTCAAGCGGTTGCACCTCTGTCAGAGGCGGTTGCACCGCCCAGCCAGAGCTTGGAGACTGAGCCCTGGGCGATGCCACCACCGACACAGGCGGTGCCACCTCTGGCCAAGTAATCTGGGTCCGAATGGGCTGATCCATTCGGCCCAATTTGGGTCTGTCAAGAGCCCAATTGCCCCAAGATTAAGTTAATGGGATCACCTACAATTTCTAACATAATCATTGTGCTAACTACGAATTTCTTAAGACATTTACTGCAACTTGCTCTGGAGCGTCAATCGCTTCTTCCGCGCGAGCTTCCGTCGATCATCCGATGAACTCTCGGTGATGCTCCTGCGGATTTCCGGCAAACTCCTGGACTTGCGACAATCCACTTGGCGAGTTCCGACGAGCTTCTTTTGGCAAGCTCCTAGACTTCTCTGATTTGTTCCCGCAGAACCTCCAACGACCGTCCGAACTTCCGTCGAACCTCCGACTCCGGCGCAACTCCTACTGCATGTCTTACTTTTATCGTAGTTAATCATGCACACTTAAAACAAAACTTCGATCGAGACAATTAATCCTAAGCAATTAACTAAGTTGTCCGGCATGTCATTGGTCCCTCGACGCTTCATCCGATTCTTCGGCGCATCGTCCTCTCCTGCGGCCTATTGCCCAATCGGCCAGTTGACTCTACAACTCTGATATCCTTGGCGCAATACCCGCTCTTCTTGGCCCGATGCCTAAGTCCACGGCCCGAAGCCTTCTATCGATACGTCGACCGATCCATTGGCCCGACGTCCAATCTTCTAACATGTTCCTCCGGCACAACATGATTTTTCCTGCTTTAATT